CATCAGAGTTTGGTCTCTCCCTTTCTAATTGGTTCTTATTGTACACTTAGTTCACAGTCAGAGACCCCACTTGGACTGAGATTTGGGGAGGGAAGTTCCCAAGGAAAATCAAGGTGATAGTGCTAGAAAAGAGGAGCTGTGGCTGCGAAGTCCAGAAGATCAGTGACCCACCATGCCACTTACATTATTGGCATATTAGTCAATCAGGATTTTCCAGAGGAACATAGAAGAAGAAGTTGGAGTAAGAGGGGGTTTTATGTATGTCTAGAGAAAGAATTGGAGGCAGAGAGATTTATTTTAAGAAATTGGCTCATGGTGTTGATCTGCAGATGAGGCCAGCAGGCTGAGAGACAGGCAAGAGTTGATGATGCACCTCTGCTGGCAGAGCTTGTCTTGCTCAGGTACCTCAAGTCTTTTTCTCTTAAAACCTTTTAGTGAGTGGATGAGATGAGGCCTAAATACATTATAGAGACTCATCTGCTTTACTCAAAATATACTACTTTTAATGTTACTCTCACCTTACAAATACCTTCATAGCAACATCTAAACTCATGTTTGACAAGAAACTTGGGTACCATGACTGAGGCAAGTTGACACATAAAATAACAATCACAATTGTCAACAAATGTATATTGAATATCAGTCGTATTCAGTAAGGATTTTCTAATGTAAATTAGTATATTACTAATGTAACTCTTTTTTTAAAAGACTTATTTATTTATGCATACAAGAACTGGGGTACAGGCCAGAGGTGTGGGGGGTGAAAGGATTCACCAGAGACAGCAATGGGGAACAGAACGGGCAGATTGACTAAAATACACTGCTGAGAGGAGCAGCGGGCAAGACAAGAGAGGTCTGCTGTGCCATGTGGGTAGCTCCCTGGCCGGGGATTGAACTCATGCTGCAATGGCTGGTGATATCTTCATAGGTTGTGTCTTAACCCCTTGCGCCACCAGGGAGGCCCACTAATGTGACTATTTTTTTTTAACATTTTTTTAAAGATTTATTTATTTATTTATTTATACAAAAACTAGAGTACAGGCCAGATTCACAGGAGGGTGAGAGGATTCACCAGAGACAGAGCAGGGGACAGAACAGGCAGACTGACTGAAATACACTGCTGAGGGAAGCAGCGAGTGTGACAGGAGAGGTCTATTGCGCCATGTGGGACCCTCACCTGCCAGCCAGGATTGAACTGGTGCTGCAGAGGCTTTGGACAGCTTCACAGCACTGCGCTCAACTGCCTGCGCCACGAGGGGAGGCCCTAATGTGACTCTTTAATGTAGAACTCTGCTATTTCACAACATCAAATAAGAAGCACAGTGGGTATTTCCATATAGCAGATATTTCCATCACCTGCTTCTTTCAACAGTCTGCTTCCTGATGGGTAAACTGAGCCAAGAAAAGAGCTACCTCCCTAAGCACCAGTCAGTGCCCTTCTAGTGGGTATGACTTGATTAGGTATGACTCTAGTCAAGCTCAGGAGGATGTCCAACTTTAATTGCAATGAGGTTTTAAAGATCACTCTTATGATATGAACACTGGGCCCAAGACATGATAGGGCAAACAGCTGGGTGATGATGCCTGAGTGTGGTTGGGTGGGGAGCACCCAGACAGGTCCCCTTCCTACTTGGGAAAAGAAGAGGATTGAAGTGCACTAATTTCTTTGTGACATGGAGTGTGGGTACACTGCTCTTCTCTCGGCTATGTTCTTTTCCACCATCATAGAAAGCATGTTTCTTTTGTGTTGTCACACTCTTAATTGATGTGCCCTGGTGACAGATCAGATCTTAGCATCCTGGTAGCTCTTGTATGGGCTAGCATGCGAAGGAACACAGCTTCTTGGCAGGAAGGTGATCTACTGTACTCACTATTGGCATCCAAGCTGGTGTGGCCATTTTCAAACTCACATCACCCAGTTTTTATTAAAACTTATGTTTTTTGAAAGGATAATTGGGATTATTTTTCTTCTTTCCTTGCCTCAGTTTACCCATCAGGAAGCAGGATGTTGAAAGCAGCAGTTGATGGAAGTATAAGAAAAAGATGAGAGCTAGAATGCCACAGTCCCTCTGTCTCATAATAAATGATAACAGGTTATTTGTACCAGTCAAAACCCTGCTTAAGAATTGTAACTCTAGAGGTCTCTCATTTCCTGGTCTTTATCTCAAGGCATTTGTGCAAGGTGTCTACTGACCAACTGCATCCCCACATTAACTGAGTCAAGGGAATCAAATGTCTTTCTTAAAACAAAGCTCTGTTTCACAAGGTTAAATTCTTAGTATAAATGCATGAAGGTTCGATAACTATGTTCTAGTTTGGTAGCATTTTATCTTCTCTAGTTGGCAGAAGATAGTGATTATGAGCATCACTTGAGTGTTATAAAAAAAAAAACGGTTTGTTTAAATAGCTGCGGGTCATTCTACTTCTCCCCTGGCGTGGGTGAAGTCATTGCTTTCAAATGGTCCTCTTGCGCTAAGGCACGCTGAAGGGTGGGAGCGAGGAAACCTAATGAATGATGCAGCCGGAGAGCCTACTACACTGAAAGTCATTAACACTCAGCCGTGCTGTTCATGCTCGGTGCCCTTTGTTCAGAACGATCCCGTCTATGGTGAGAACAATAGGGCCACAGTGAGGGCTGTGACCTTTCCAGGCATTACCTCCTTGAAGATGCTGGGTCATCCCAGTGAGAAGGTCATTGCACTGTACTTGGGCTGTGCGTTGTGCATCATCGAGGTCTTGTGACAACAAAAGGCTTAGTGGCCAACTTGACTTTGGATAACATTCTCTGATGCAGCTAAACTTCAAGCTCATGAGCCACAAGTGGAAGCAAATATAAACATTGAAGAAAAGCCAACCCTGGGGGGAACCTGTGCCCAAAGTGAAATTTGAGATGATTTCTGCACCCATCACCTCAATTTCCTGAACTCCTTTCGTTTGGAAAGGTTATGAACAAGGCACAACTATACCTCTTGAAGTTGCCTTTTTATTTGTTTTTTGAAAAATGCTACTAAAGCTACATCTTTATTCAAAGCTTGGGTACTTTTAAAAGCTATTCTTACTTATTCCTCTAATAATGGTGTTTTGAGTAATATCAGAAAATTTTTTAAAGCAGACTTTGATGGGTTATTGCAATTACATTGAAAACCTAGTTTTCAAAGTTTATACTTTTGTTATCCCACAACTGTTACAATACACTTTCAGGCTAAAACTCCTGATATTTGCTCTGTGGACATTTACTATGTCTTGAAGATGTTGGTGGTGGGTTTTTGTTGTTGTTGTTGTTGTTGTTGTTCTATTTTTCTTGATGTCCCTTGCTTTCTAAATCAAGGCTTAAAATCCAAAGGTCAGAGCAAGTACAATCTGTTCTCCTTGAAGTTGGACCTGTGTCTGCTCTCCTTTTTTTCCATCTGAATACACGACTTTGAATATAGTGACATTTATGACACTATGGACTCAATGTTGAACATCTAAACCAGCTAGAGAGTTTCTCTCCGAATGGCATGGTCTTTGATAAGTGTAGCTAGTATTTTTCATTCCCATACATTCAGTAGACTTGTGAGAAAAGAATTCATGAGCAAATAAGTTTACAATGTATTGGGTATTTTTTTAGCCTTTCTTGAAGATCAGAGTGTATACTAGCAAGTTCAAGGCTCTTCAATGTTCTGTTACTTTGACCCAGAATTGCCAAACACTACACAGAGATAAATTATGTGTCATTTTTGTAGAGCTCCTTGTTTGGGCACTGTGGCTCTAATGCTGGCTTAACTGTGTTTGGAAAGATTAGAGATCTTAAATGAGGAGAAAGTTTCATAGCAGATTATTATGGACCAAGTGACAGCATGACATGTAGAATCAACTTCCTTAAAGAGCCAGGAAAATCATAGTGAACTCAAGGATTCTTTGGGCTAGACTTTGCTTCCAGACAAGCTATGAGGTTACCTCCTCCTTTCCTCCTTCCTCCCTCTACTCACTATCAGAAGAGAACAGAACATTTGAGCTGATGTCATTTTGAGGAAAAAGAAATCAGCCATCTAGGGGTCTGAAATACTTCTGAAATCCAAAGATGCTATTTTTTGCCTGGAGAAGAAATCTACAAAGAAAGTGAGCTGCATTAATGGGTCAAATAAGCTTCTTCTTTGGTAACTAGACAGTTTAATTATTTTGTCAGCATACCAAGACATGAACAGTACTACAAGTTCAACTCTGTAAAAGGGTTTTAAATGTACAGAAAAAAAGGCCCAAATACAGCCCCTTCTAGGTGCAGTAGGGCTATAGACATTACTAATAGCCAGAATTGGTTACTTACAGTGGCCAGAATATGAACAAAGTGTTCTGCATAAAGACCTCATTTAAACTTTACAAAAACACTGTAAGAAAGGTATTATTATTCCCAATTTGCATTTGATAAAATTGAGGTTCAGGGATGTTGAGTAACTTGCTCAGAGTCACAGAGCTTGGACATAGCGGCACTGGGATAACTACCTGGGTCTGGCTGATTCCTGAGCCAGTCCTTCTCAGAACCCCACGACTCTTTCCCAGATGCCCTGGCTCTCTTTATCATACATCATCTCTCATTCAGATTCCATGGTGTAACCTCTTAGGAGAAAGAAATAAGAACAAGACATGTCAGCAGAGAGGATGTGAGAGTTTTGCAACCAAGCCTGTGAATTTGAAATCATTTTGGACAAGTTACCATGTTGTAACAGAACAGAAACCTATTTTGTTCTCATTGAGTGTTACTGTTCTTTGAGGCAATAAAATGGGTCATTCTTAAATACACTTACCACTTATTTGTGAGTTGTTACAGAGTTGGAGACAGTAAAGTCTTTTGATCACTGAAAATAAATATCACTGTGTTGCCTAACTCTGATGCTACATGTGAAAACAGAAATTGCATTTCCACAGATGTGTTATTACTTTAAGCAACAGATAAGGCCCAACATGTTTTCTTTGCCAGTAAAGTAGTAATCAAATGACATATTATAATCTGATTTCATTACCTGAAAATGCTCTTAGACTTTAAATCCTCGGGGATATGGGCCTGTATTGGTAAAAATGAAAACTCGCTGAATGAGAAATAGGCGGTTGGCCTGTGTGTGTGTCCCAGGTCAGATCAGCTCCCACCAGGGAGGTGACATCATCTGTGTCTGTATCCTGCCCTCTCCATAAAGGCTGAGCTCCCAGTACCAGTATTAGAAGTGACCAACGTGAGACTGAGGAGCAAACTAGTGTTTGGTTCTAGAGTTACCTCGTTACTAGGTTCTAGAGTTACCTAGTTACTCTAGTTTAGAACTAGAGTTACCACTCAAAGCCAGGCCCCTCCTGTCGCTGGTGATCCGTGACCACTGTGTTCCACATGGTGTGACATTTCTCTCTGCATGTAATCACACCTCAGGAATTCAAAGAAAAGATATGTTCCAAGGGTGCCATTTCAGCCCTCACAGCCTCTACAGTGCCCACTGGAAAAGCCCACCCCCAACGCGAAATTAGTTTCCTACTCTAGAGAATATCATTATAGTCCAGGTTTGGAAACAAAGAGGAAAGTGTAAAAAACTCTTAGCTCTGGGTATTGTTCAAAAATAAATTTCCCCCTATTTTCGTAATCAGAGTAACATTGGTTTATAACACTGTGAGAGTTTGTTTTTGTTTTGTTTTGTTTCTTTATCTTCCACATTTAAGCAAAAACTGAGCAAACTAAGCACGTGTCTCACTGGGAGAAAATAACTAGTGTCAGCACCTCCTAAGTGTAGAATTTAGTCAAAATTCTTATAACTGCAAGGAGCAGGGGCCCACTCAGGCTGGGTCAGGAGAGGGTGGCAGCGGGCAGTGTCAAGGTACAGGATGGCTCTTGGCCATCACATGCAGGGGCTGCAAAGGGGGTCTGGAGGAGCCAGCATTACTCTCATCAGCCTGGGCACATCAGCTACCTGCATCCTCTCTCCAGAGGCGTCATAGTTGACCACTTTAGGTGCTTTGCCCTCCCAGGCCCACTGGGCCAAGGCCCCCAGTGCAGTGGCTGCCAGCTGGTGCTGACTCTCGCCTGCCTTCGAGTTCTATGGGCTGTGGCCTGAATGAGAAGGGATATGTGGAAATGTGGTTGTGCTCCCCTAGGATGTGGATGGAACAGCTCCCTCCGAGGAGCTGTAGGGAGCAAGCAATGTACCCTGGCACCTCAGTATTTCATTTCCTTCCCTTTCCTCTCTGCCCCCAGAAAGAGCTCTCTGAAGAAGTCGGCAGGAACGACAGCCAGGCTCAGATTTCCATTCAAGTCCACAACGCCACGTGCACAGTGAGGATCGCAGCTGTCACAAAAGGGGGAGTTGGGCCTTTCAGTGACCCAGTGAAAATATTCATCCCTGCACATGGTAAGAGGGGGGTCCTTATCACTGATAGAACCTGTCGGCCCAGGCAATGCCCAGATTGTGCAAGGGTGATTTGTGGGATAGAAGCTGGTTTAAGAATGAAAAATAAAGACCAAAAGGGATCTTTTCAACAATAAAGGTAGTTGATATGATGACACATGTCAGAGTGACCAATACCCACTACTGTTACTATCAATAGTAATAACTTACTAGGAAAAGTGGTCTTTCAGAATACTAAGCTTGGCTTGGCCTATTGAACTTAGTTTCAATGACATGTACATGACTGAATTTCAGGTCAGTGGTATGGGTGTTCCTTAGCTTTCTGGTGCTGCTTTTCCTGTTGTTACCCACTCAAGCCTTTGGTAAAGTGCTTAGTGACTGATCAGTACAGAATAGGAAGTTGTGTCCTCCAGAAGCTGTCCTCAGACAGTGCTGGTCTTGCTGAGCTAAACACCCAGTTCTGCCTGCTGGTTTTTGCATGTTGGAGGGAGCTTTGGCAGGTGCTATCACACTGGCCCAAGTGGTCCAAATGCTGTACGTGCTTCCATAGACACCTGGAGTGGCCTTTTTCTACTCCCCTTGATTCAAATAACTCATAAACTCCCTGCCTGGGTATCTATATCAGTGTGACTTGTACAGTTATAAATGCTTGCCAATATGGCATTTGTACCCAATGCAGATTGGACTTGTGAGCAGATCACTAAGTTTCTGTCCATCTGTCAGTGACCCTCAAACATGCTCTCCCTTTTCTTGCTGAACTGGAGTCACATTAGAGTTCCTGCAGCCCAGGGACCGTCCCTGGGAGACATTAACAACTGATAATGGGGCACAAGGCATGTCTATCTGGTAGATATTCAGACATAAATTTCTAATTCTAAGTCACATATAAAAACTCAGAGTTGAAGATTACAGAGCATTCTTCCTCATACTCACAAAAAAAACTGTCAACATTTAAAAAATCTTTGCTGCGCTGGCTTTCCATGCTTTACACAGTTCCAATATGCACACACTTCAGTTTCAGTATTGAGTTAAATATATAATAACACCAGTTTCCCAAGAATATGGTTTGAATTTGAGTTATCATCATTTATTAACTGTAACTGCATAAACATAAATTTTGCTGCTAGCTCTTTTGTCTGTAAATCACTATATAAGTAACAGATGTGTGCGAATCACTACACTTATTTCAAAGTCTGCCAGTTCACACTCTTATAACAAAGCAGTGGCTTTATTGCCTCCTTGTCACCCAGTGACAAACCCATGTATTTCGAAAGTGGTAGTGAGCAAAGATGAAATTGCAGCAAAGAGAAACAGTGAGAAACAGTGAGTGTTGGAAGTGAAATTTAAACTGAAAATATGTGGAGTTGTGGGGGAAATAGCTGTTTGAGGCAATGTCGCTACTCCTGCCATTTGATGGACCTAGATATGCAGTTACAGAAGCCCATGAAGGTGAGTTACTTGAGTTACTCACACCAGTGAAGTGATGCTCCATAAAGTATGACGATGTCCCAACAGAAGTCACCCCAAAAATCTTGACACAAAGGAATTCTCAGAGATAGTTTATTACATCGAAAACACAAAGGATAAAAATATTGAAAGCTGCTCCAAACAATTCCCCAGGGCATGGGAAATGTATTCTCTCTGTATCACAAGTTATGACTACAAAAGGCAAGCACTGTTCAAACTACTTTTCATTGAAGAGTGTTACAAAGAAAACATTTAACTCTCAGTGTTTCTAGTGCTTTTAATTTCAGTGTACCAGGTAAGTATTTGTTTTATCATTGTTTCAATTCCTTCTACATTTATAACTGACGTGAGGAGAGTTTCTCATTGGTTATTTGGGCCACTCTCCAGAGTCCCAGTTGGCAGCATCAATGTAAGAACTCCTTGCATTAGTAGATCACAAAATATGATAGGGCTAAGTTCTAAAACTTTTGACTCTCTATTCTTCCCTACTTATGTATTTCCAAACCCAAAGAGATGTTTTGTTTTGTTTTGTAATTTTTAATATTTTTATTTTATATAATTCTTACATCATTTTTCATCTTTGTACAATGTATGCTTTTTCATTTTGGTTATATTCCCCATACAATTGCACCCCCCCCCTTTTTGACTCTAGTTCTTACTCACCCTGCCCTTTCCTAATTCCCCCCCCCATAGTATGTCTCTGGTTTATAGTTGCTTGTTGATTTTGATTATTACTTTGCATTGATTAGTCTTTTTCCTGGTCTCTTATTTAGGTTTTCTAAATTCCTGCTATGAGTGAGACCATCCGGTATTTTTCTTTCTCTTTCTGACTTATTTTGCTGAGCATGATCCCTTCTAGCTCCATCCATGTTGCTGCAAACTGCATGTGTTTATCTTTTTTGATTGCTGAGTAATATTCCAGTGTATATATGTACCATATCTTCTTGATCCAGTCATCTATTTTTGGGCATTTGGGTTGTTTCCATATCTTAGCTATTGTAAATAGTGCTGCCATAAACATAGGCATGCAGGTGCCCTTTGGAATTACTGTTTCTGTGTCATTTGGGTAAATACCTAGGAGTGGAATTGCTGGATTATATGGAAGCTCTATTAAACATAGTAGGTCAAGAAATCTCCACACAGCTCTCTATAGTGGTTGGACCAGTTTGCACTCCCACCAGCAGTGCAGGAGAGTTCTTTTTTCCCAAAGAGATGTTTTGAACCGATTCTATTGCTGTTTTTCCAGGTTGGGTAGATTTTGCCCCCTCATCAACCCCAGCACCAGGCAACACAGATCCTGTGGTCATCCTCCTTGGCTGCTTTTGTGGATTTGTTTTGATTGGGTCAATTTTATATATTTCTCTGGCCATCAGAAAAAGATGCCAGGAGACAAGGTTTGGGTAAGTTTCCCAGTTAAAAGTGTTACCCAGTGGTACCGATAAGATCATTATACCAGGTGATAATGTCTCTCCTGTTGGCCCTGCTCCTCCCGTTGTACCCAGCTCAGTACCCTGTTTTATGCATATCCTGGTTCCAGCAACTTCCTTACTCAGGCCAGCACCTACAAAGACAGCCAACAGTGAAGGGGGCTCACTTCTAGAGAGGGGTACCAATATGCTTTCCCTACTCAAAATGAGTTGCTAATAAATAAGGATTTTTATTAGAAGTCTTAAAAATTATCCTAATTATCTTTTTTAAATTTTATATAATTCTTACATCATTTTTCATTTTTGCACAATGTATGCATTTTCATTTTGGTTATATTCCCCATACAATTGCACCCCCTTATTTTGACCATAGTCCTTCCTCTCCCCGCCTCTCCCCCCCATAGTGTGTCTCTGGTTTATAGTTGCTTGTTGATTTTGATTTTTACTTTGTATTACTAATTATCTTTTTTAAAGGCAGTATATATACAGATAAAAATACTAGAAGAAAATTCACAAACTATTAGCAATTCTGAATCATGTAATTATAGCTAGATCTGTGGTTTTTTGCTGTACTCTATGCATTTTCTATAATGAAAATTCATATTTTTCTAATAGAAAATAACTGTATTTTCACATTCAAAGGAAACTTTTTTTATTGTCTGTACACCTGACTTTTATAACCAAATAGCGGTTAAATAGCAACAAAATTGGGAAGCCACATTTCAGCAACCTATGAAAAGATTATGCAGGTGAAAGTTGTCTCTGGAACTCAAGTTTTGTATTCCAGTGCCTCTGCAGTGAGTTTGGATTTCCATGAAGTCTAGTTTATCACTCATGGAGCAGCGAAAGTATTTTGGAAGAGACAAAGTGTTAACAGTTTGGAATGGGAAAAGAATGAAGGAGGGGCCGGTGACAGTATTTTTGAGGAAACTAAACAGCCTTCTCTTATTGTTAGACCCTCCACTCATTTCAAAACTTCC